GCACTTTGTGCAACTTTAAACTGCTGCTCAAAGAGCCATTCCTCATCTTCTTAGGGATAAGGCAGCAAGCACCTTGGTTAAATTTTGTTTCTGCCTCCCTGAAGAGGAGGGCTGCTTCTAACAGATGATATTTAGCCACTAGAAAAAGTACATGACAGGCAGTTACAGTTGTTCCATCACTGCAAGAAATACTTCCAAAGTTTTGTGGTTAAATGACCACAATGGTTCCATCCAAGCCTGTAAACAGAGATCACTTTCGCACATCTCAGTTGTATTTGTTTCTTCTTTTTCCAGATGGTGTTCACAGCTAATGATACTGTTAATTGACATTATACTAGTGCCATGGTATAATATATTATAATATTATGCATTAGGCAGTGAAGGAATGGAATACAAACTGACATGAAGCATGAAATTTTAGATTTGTAAATTAGATTTCCATAGATAGTAATTTTTGCTATTCTGTAGCAATAGTATTAGCACTTGCATAACAATATTCATAGTAAAGCACTAACAATAAATATTAAGTCATTTATTGACTTTGACTTTCAACTCTTCTTTTGAATAAAAATGTTCAGAGAAAAACTTGTTTAGAGATGGCAAAAATGTTCAGAGAAATACTTGTTTAGAGATGGCAAAAATGGATCAGGTTTGCAACAAATACACTATAATTCTACTACTGAGATTCTGAGAACAAATCAAAATCTTCCATAAAGCTAATAAATTGCACTCCTGCTGGCAAAGAAGGTAACAGAATATATTCAAAAAGTGTCTCGTAATAAAAAAAGATCAGGAAATGCAAATGACAACTTAATATAATGTGTTTCCCACAGAGAAGAAATAGCTTAGGATCACTACTCAGAGTGTCACAAAGTAACAAATAATCTCATCTCCCAATTCACCATTTGAAGACATGGATGCAAAAGCAGCTTTCAATTAACAGCCAGCTGAATTCCATTTAGGATGCTACGCTTTTGAAATGCCTTCTTTCCTGCCTCTTAATATACTGGGGAGACTTACAAGGAGTACCATAACCGATATGGAAGTATATGCAACAAAAACATCCTTGTGGATGTCCATGTGGACTGTCATAGCATTCTGCAGGGTTTTTTGTTTTGTTTTGTTTTTTGGGGGGGTGAATTACCATAACATTCTGCAAGGACTTTTGCTCTCAGTTTAAGTAGTCCCTAAATTACTTGCACACCTTTAACTTTTAGACATTTCTGTAATAAATGAGAGTACAAAGAACAGTAAAAAGGGTAATTGATGCTTCCTGAGAAAATCAAATCCTTATTTAATGCCAAGAGAAACAGGGATGGATCCTTCCATTTCACATTCTTTGCATCCATATCGAAGTGAAACTACTTCCAAAAGAAAGTTAAGTAAGTATAAGGAAGAGCCATTAGAACATTCAACAGCAAGCCTACCTTGGAAAAGTAAGCAAAAATCTAGTCATGTAGTCTAGAAAAATCAAAAGTTGAAGATAGATGCAAAGCGCTCATATAAATATACTAATGAAGGGAAAACACTAGTTAACCTAAGGCTTTGACTCCAAAACAGCCTAACTTCATGTATATGCTGACTGAGTTCCCCTTCCTTTTGCTGTCAGCTAAAGGAATCGAGCACTAAGAAAGACGAGTATTCTGGTTATACACAAAACAAAAATCAACATATGCCCTCCAGAAAACCTCAGAATAAACAAACCAACACAATCTTTAGAACATTATATTTCATAAAAGACAATGATAAAAAAGTACAAACATTTTCATGAACAACAAAACAAGAACAAAACCCAAAACTATGATAGTACACAGGAAATTCCCAGCATTTGTTTCAGTGCATTTTTCATTAAGCCTAGTTTACATAACCTCTACAAAATAAAATAATCTTAAGTACACTTCCTCTGGTCGATATGCAACATGTCATTTTAATATTTTTAAATAACTGGATCCTTAGTAACCACCATAGCATTAGTAAACATAATGATAGAAAAATAGACCAGAACGATCCAAAAAGAATATTTTGCACTGTTTTTCAATATAATCTCTGTTTCAAAATGGATTTATCTCACATTCTACTTAAATTTAAAACACAGCAGGTGGGCCTAAAAGTGCCTTAGCTTGTCAGCTAGATTCTACTGCCAATGTTTCTGTAGCATTTTACAGAACTTACTTCCACTATTTTCTCTCTCCATGTTAACTCCTCTAAGAGAAGTCATACTTAATTTACCTTCTCAGGAATACAAAAGCCAATGTGCTTGGCTTCCCTCCTTATTTCACAAGAATTATGAAAATATCAAAAGGAATGTGCACAACTCTTAGTTCTGCATCTAATTTATTTTGTTTGAAGGCACTGTCTATGTTAAAATTCATTACAGAATAGTACTGAGTTCAAGCAGGTAGTATAAATACGCTGTTTTGGTGTAATTTAAGATGGCAACTCCTAAAACTTGCAGTTTTAGAAACAGTTGGTTAATATTCCACAATTTAACATATATCACTTCGGGGTTCTAATATTTATTTTTTTAAAAAGATAACAACTATATGTCATAATCCATTTCCCTGTTTAAATCACATTTTTTAAAAATCGCACATGATTAATCACTTAGACCTGTAAAGATAGATTAGCTCGGCTATAGCATATTAATGTGTAATATAGGATATATATGTATATACATATATATAAGCACTAGAATAAAAATTGCACATTGATTTCACAGATTGCCTTCCACATTCTTAACAAAAGGGCACAAAAGCATGCTTCAGAAAAAGGTACAGACCTACAATACTGAAAGATCTCTTATAACTGAAGGTGTGAAATTGTAAAGTACTGGAAATCAGATATTACTTCAAAATTACATCAGGGACTTTAAAAAATAACAAATTTCATCAGTTCTTAAAGAATTGTACTAGTCTGTTATGAAATAAGACCAGTTTTATTTTGAGGATATAATTGTTCATACAGTATATTAACTATTTTGTATTTATCCACATACTCCAGAATATTCTATACACTCAGTTATAGAAAAATATACCAGGAGGTAATGAAACCATGTAAGCATGCTTTTGAAGGATGTTTTGTTCACCTTATATTAACTTTTTTGTTATTTGCATTGCATTACATCATTGCTAAAGCACATTAGATAACTGATAAGATTTTAAGGTCATTTCGATATAGTTAAAAATATCCCTTACAATCTGCTCTCAACTACTTCAATCGTATCATTACATTTTTTATAAAATACTTGGGATATCTACAAATAAGCAATAACATTTCTTAGGAATGTCTAAGGGCAAAATTTACTGCTGGGATACCAAGAAAAACAACTCTTGTTTATGAAAAAAAAAATCAAAAATATACACAGCACCACACTCTTTGTGGCAGTAATTCAAGAGACCAACACATAGCAATGAGTTAAAGTCATCATTCTTTGTCAACACTCTTACAGAACACTCTATTGATAAACAACGCTTATCATATACTGCTTTCCATTCTTCATGGGAGCAGAATTCAGTCTTTGGTTCTTAAAGAGTTGAATTGTGACAAACAGAACAGTTCAGTAGTTCTTTGTCAATATCTTTGCATTAACACAGAAAATAAACGATTCAGTCCATTTCCTTAGTATTCACCAGGAATGTATAAAAATATTAGGAAAAGATAACGCTTGGGAATTTTAGGTAGCATAACATTACAAGCAAACAAAGGTTTTTGCTCTAAGCCAAGGAGAGAGTCTAACTGCTCATACATTTAAATGTATCAAACACCACTAAAATAGAGAAACAGGCAGGACCTATTCTTAGTAGGTCTATGCAACCTCAATCTCATCGAAAGTCATTGACTTGAGGATACTTAGTGCATCATAGAAGTATTCAGCACTCCACTAAAATGGGCCCTTAAAAACTGTATTAAATATATTACAGGTGGAATTTTAAGATGCACTTGGGACTGGCCTAATTTCAATTCCACTTATGCTGTCCTAATCAGTGTAACAGTTTGACCAACACTGTGTGTTTCTGAAAATTCCACACTGCAAGCATTAGGATTATGTTTTATTAATAGCATGACTTGAATATTCTTCCAGTGAAGATATATTTTTGGTGCTTCTGATTTTGCAGGAATAAAAGTGCTGTTTACAAGGAAGAGAGAGAGAGAGAAAGAGACAGAGAGAGAGAGAGAGAACAATACCAAAATACGGTACACACCCAGACACATTTTAGGCATTAAAATCCCTGACATGGACACCAGTGGCACACGTGGAAACAGAGTTCCTGTAGATCATTATACACAACCACCACAGGATTTTCCATAATACACATGCAATATGCATATAAATAAGATTTAGATGGCAGGCAGCGAATCATAGGATTTTGCTGGCAATAAATAAAAAGCTTTCTTTCTTGGAAGTTCATAGATGAAATTGATTCTTTTACATAGATATGCGGGAGGCCTAAAGCTCAAAACTAGTATAATAGTTTACAGTCATAGCTGGCCAACAATTAGTATTTCCTTCATTCCACATAAGGTATAACCTCTTTTAAGCACACTTACATTTGTTCTTTCATGCTAATAAAAACATTCCTATATAATTCAAACAAAAACACACTCAAATATATACTGCAGCATAAAATATTGAGCAATATAAGAGCAATGTACACACATTAATTTACATCACATATTTACAAAACACAGTTTAAAAAGGACCAAAAGCATTCATTTAAATATGGGGAGCGGAAGGAGAGAGGGAGAAGTATAAAAAAAAATTCCTGGAAGAACTTCCAGACAAGCTACAGGTCTGTTTCTGCAGATCAGTTAATTGAGTGGTTAAGACAGAGAACACACAGAAGGAAGGCTTGAGTAGTTTCATGCTGTAAACATCTGAGTGGTAGCTGCTGGCTTTCCTTTCAGACAAACAGTACATGCACTACATCACTTTATTTCCCATCCCAAATATGAATCATCGAAGGATCAAGAGTCACCAATTCTAACCTGCTATTTTTTAATAGTGTCTGTAGTGTCTATTTGTAGCTTCCAGTACTAATGTTTACTCCAGTGGCATAGCTTGTCATTTCATTTCCATTAATAATCCCTAACAGGAGCAAGTTCTGGTATGAGATTTACAGTTATGTTTTTATATAGCCTACTGACAAGTATTTTAGGAGTATATATTAAATTGTTCAATCCATCAATGTATTGACGTTCTCTAGAATACCTCAGTAGTTTGTATCTGTAGAGGGAATTGGAGGAGAAAACATGAAAAAGATTTGGAAGAAACAGCTTAATTGATGTTATGCATGACACTGTAACAGTCATTTCATTGTCAAATACTATACGTTTAAATACTGAATGCATCTACTTAAAACTTAACAAGTTTCCTACATGAGCTTTAAAAGTCAGTTACTTTTTGCAAGAGATTTTTTTAAGCATGCCGGATTCTCACATTTTATATTCACACGGACAATTTATGACTAAAGGACAGAAGATAAATAGTGTACATATTTTTGGGATTGCAAATGAAAATAATTTTTAAAGGATACTCAATTTCTTCACATTCTTTTTAATACATGACTACAGAGGTCAAAGAAAATTTAGGTGGCTTCACTAGGCATACCCTATACATTTAGATGTCTAAATCTGTTAATTTTAACCTTAAGATGCCTACACCTTGAATTTAGATGTTTTCGAAAATAAAATCTTACGCCCTCAGATTACCGATATGTACACTTTAGTTTCTTATGTTTACTTATGTATAGTTTACATGATTTGTGTCATTTTCTATTCATAATTTTTAAATAAAGAGGTTCTTAGGAAAAAAAAAGAAAGAGACAACCACTGATAACACAAGCAGTATTTCTAATGATCTTGAAAACCCACCATGAAGTTTTTACCCTGTGTTGCATGTTTTCAGCTTTTGGGTGCATTTCAACTAGTATATTCTGGCAGCTATTCTACTTTAGGGCTGCCACTTCGACTGTTTTGCATCTTTGCACAAAGGAGAGGAATTCAGAAATAAAAGAGTCAGGTGAATGTAAATAGGACCCGTTTCTAAGAAATGAAAGAACTATGATGGAAGAAACCAATCCTTGAGCTTTAAAGTCTCTTTTCACTCAGGGTTGACTGCTTCCTTTTGAAGAACATCTAAATATACAAACTAGGCAAGCCCTTTCAACACTAATGCCCAAACACAGGGTAATATTCTGCTTCAGAGGGTATAGAGCAACAGCATCTTCTGGCGCAGAGACTCAGGCTCTCTCTCTCAAATGGTTAAATAAAGCAATATCCACACAGCCAAAAACATTAAGTTTTAAGAAAATTATGAGTTTTGCACTAAGGAGGTAGTACTGACAAGTAGAGACTGCTTATTTATATGTCTAGAAGATTTATGCAAGACAAAAATCCTTATACTACTAGATCTAATATTTGAATACTATTCTGTTACTCTTACCGTCCTAAAAACTGGACTTCACCCCTGTGATGGTGAGGTATGGATTTGTACTTTCCTAAGTCTCCTTCAGGTCTTGTTACATTGTATCCAGCATAGTGAACCCTACAGCATGAAATAAAAACATGTGCATACAGAATATTGAAAAGATATTTTTACAAGTTTTTAAAAGTTAAAGCAAAAGTAAAAAAATACGCATCAAATCTTTAAAAGCTGTTTGTTTGCATTAACTAACATTCTCTTCATAATAAAATTCCTGTTTGGATAAAGCAGTGAGCGTTGTTCCTCGATTCTTTTTGTCAAAGAAAAACAGACTCCCATCCCCAGGACTGATAAAGCTGGCCTAACCAACGTACACTGCATTAATCACTTTATATTTAGTGTTTCTAGATTTAATCTTACAGCACAATAGTATGAGAAAATTTGAAAGTAGCATGCTTTTAATACTTATCCTTGCATGACCTATCCTTTAAAAAAAATAGGTGTGTCTATATATATGTATATATGTACGTGTATTTATTGCTAAAACTAGATGCCTATGTGAGTTACATATATACATATAACGAATATCACCTGGGCATCTAGTTTTAACAGGCCAAAAGGTTTTTGTTTGTTTGTTTGTTTTGTTTTTGTTTTTGTTTTACTGTATGCAGTTACTAACATTCTATACAGTGGCCTTTATTGCCCAATTTGTGATTGTCAATATAATCACAGAATAATGTATTGGACACAGCTCCTAAGATATGAACATTATTGTTTACTGTACAATCTGTGAGATTGTATTTCATAATTATAGTAGCAGCACAACCAAAAAATCAAAAGTACATAGAGGAAAAGAAACAATGAGCCTAAATATGCTTAATATTACTATAAGACCTTTCTTTAAAAAGCCTGCTAATTGTCCACAGGAAAAGAGGAAAGCACGTCTTTGAAACAGTATGTTCTGATATTTTTAACGGAACTTTTTAAAATGTTGGAATTTATTAATTTAAAACAAAACAAACAAAAAAACAAAATCTATCACCATCAAGTGGTGGATATCATAGAACAGTGAGAAAGACATATGCGCAGAACACTTACCTGTTCCAAAGATCATCATCTTCTCCACCCCATCCCCAAAAGGCATTTGGAAACCCATTGATCTTTTTGAATTGTTCTACTGTCAGTCCACTTACACCGCCGAAGAACTCGTTGTAAGGAAGACTGAAAATGATAGGTACATTTTATTTATTATTAACCAAACCTAGATAAGTAAAGCTCTCTTTTAAAGATCCTTTTGAACAAAATAACAACAACAACAAAACCCTCAAATTAAGGGCAGGAACAGATGCTGAATGTATCCAAAGGGAAAGCTGTTTCATAGATCACTGGCATTAGCAAAAACATAATGAAACTAGACAAAATGTTTGTAGTACTGTTTTGATTTGTATCAAAAGCCCTGGAACAGGCTGCCCAGAGAGATTGTGGAGTCTCCTTCTCTGGAGATCTCCAAAGCACACCTGGATGCCACCCTGTGCCACGTGCTCTAGGCGTCCCTGCTGGAGCAGGGGGGTTGGACTGGATGATCTCTAGAGATCCCTTCCAACCTTAGCCATTCTGTGATTCTGTGAAAAGGTAATATTTGGAAGTAGCTCAAGTCAGTATAATCGCATGAAACAGAAGTCTACCACATACTTAAGATGATTGCTTTAAACCTAAATGAAAAGTGAAGCCATCAAGTTTTTACATTTTAACATTAATAGAGCAAAAAAGTTTTCTTTATCAAATTGAATAATAATAAAAAAAATCTAGTAATTCATGTCCCACAGAACTATGGAAAATGAAAATGTATAATACATAATACATGCTCAATAGTAGTAAAATATGTATTATTTTTAAAAAGTGGAGTTTTTTGACTTTTAGATGTTCATTTTTCAATGAAGAAATACAAAAGTTTTCTGCCCGTATATATATTTCTTATTGATAAGTATTTATTAATCGGTGTAAGCAGTTGGACAGCTAAGATGGTTAACGTTTAATTCCACCTTGGTCATTTAGAGAAGTAGTTAGTTAATAGACCACATTTATTCTTTCTCCAGAAGCTGCCATAGTTGTTTTAATGGATTCTGTTTTGGGGGAGAAAAATAATAATAAGGAAAAAACAACTTGCGGTTTCATCAAATAAAAGTAACCAAATGCAATTTTCATGCCTCCAGTCCTGCAACCCACAAAGCGTTAGGCCTATATGCAGAAAGTGTAAGTTGTGGCTTAGGCCACAGCAGCCGCTGTGGACACTAGAGGACAGAGCAGCTCCAGAATGTGTGTGCAGAGGCGTGGGGGGAAGGAGGGTGAACAAAAATAGATGGCCACTGGCATAGCCATGTCACCTGTGATCTCTGCGAGAACAGAGGGTTCACTAAAATCTGTGCATGCATCCACATGAGTGTTTATAGATTTTAAACGCTTATGCTCATATATGTGTATATAGAAACATATACAAAAAATCTGTTAAGTTTTTACTGCTAGGTGACTGACAACCTAAAGACTAAATACACAGTCACACCTCTAGTACACACTTTTTGATCTGCCAGTATTAAAATTGATCAACTTAAATACATATTCAGGACAGCAAATACCCACATGCAGAAAGGAACGAACTGCAGCATGATCTGAAGTGATTTGAAAAGACTGCTGAGCTGGTAGCCACAAAGTGTTAAAAAAGCAACCAAAATATCATTAATGATAGAAGATAAATGAGACTGCAGGACCAACTACATTCATCAAATACAAGATATGAAATGGTCTAATCAATAGAGAAATCCTCTGCTTAGAAAAAAACAAATTATAAATAAATTGTACACTTGTGAGAAAATTAAGGAAGAAACATTTCCCACTATATTTTGCTACAAATGTTGTTTGTTTTCTTATTATTTGCTAACTTTGTTAACAGAAAAGGCTTACATAAGCAGAAAAGCTTTCTAATAAAACATTTTTCCCCTCCTGACATAGACAATTTGTTGAGATCAACCTCACTGCTACAAATAGTGGGTCATCAAGTTAAAACAGTGGAAATATTTAATATCTTTAAGTTAGCAATGTCTAAATATAGTCACTAAGTGTAACTGTTCCTCCTGTATGATCAGCTATTCATTCACATAAAGATTATGGTAGCAGGTTGTATTATTGGTTTCATCTCCTGTAGATATTATCACAGTTTTCACATACATCTTAAAACTGTTTCTGGGTCTTTAAAAAACAATATGAAAAAAGACTATTGCTTACATATACATGTACTTGTCCAGCTTTGCTGCAAAATGACGTGGCATTTCTCCACATCCATAATAATTTCGGTCATTTTCAGGCAAGTGATCCACATCATGAAATATCACGCAGTCCCAAACAACATCCTTCATAGCCTCTTTGAAGCCAACATTAAAGAGCATTGCACGATTAAAAGGTTGTGTACCTGTCTTCAAACACAAAACAAAGAACTTTTAAGAACCTAGAACAAAGAGAAACTACCCCAATAATACAAGGATTATATCATCCATCACATAAAAAGCGCTGAAAAAATGCCTGTTATTCCTCTAACCAGGGCAAAGCTCGTTAGCACCGACATCATCTGCACCTTCTGATTTATAAAGTTTATAAGGTCTGCTCTCAAACATAAGAACACTTGTAACTTGCAGCACTAGTAACTCTAAAGTATCAAAATATGGTCACCTTGATCAATACAGCATGTCATTAACAGTTAAAGAAATGTTGATACATATTAAATATGAAACATTGTTTCAATTCTTGTGAGTCTATTAAGAATTTCAGATGCTGTACCAATACTTATAACTCAATTACATACTTATAGCTAACATCACAGTAGAACATATTTCCAGTTCCTAGAGATCTTTACAATTTTACTCAAACTTTATTTCTAATACAAGTTAAATATTCACATTTTTATTTGGAATAATTAAGTTTTCTCTAAGCTCAGAAAAAACATAGGATTGACAATAGATTTTGATATAACAAATGCATTATACAGTACAATTTTTTAAATAAAATTAGTAGACTCTCTTCTCTATTTTTTTTTTTCATTTTGGTCACATGAAAATATTGCATAAGCCCAGGACAAGATCACTAATTCCTACCTACTTTGTACAGACAATAAATGTCCTTAAACTAACACTCTGAGAATCTTTATTTTACTAATGTGTTTTAAAAAAACATGTTTTTTTTCCCCCTCCTTATCAGTTGCTCTTTGTTTCTGAAGAAATTCCTAGCCAAAATACTAGTGAGCAACTTTGTATCATGGACTTTTTCTTTACCTTTCACTTTTTAAACCAAATACTATGTATATTAAAGCTATGCCTTTGACTGGATTTAAGAGTGTATTGTAAAATGGCCTTCTGCAATGATCATTTCAATGTTATCACACAAAACCTAATGCTTTTTACCGTGATAAACCTGCAAAGACAATAGACTGCACCAGCTTGCATTCAAAGAAAGGCAGTATGTTTCCAGCTATAGATTAATCTAGGGAATAGAGCTGATTTTTTCTTTTTCATTCAGTGGATTAGAACAGCAGGGGAACAATTTGATAAATTTTGGATTCATCCAAATCTTGATGATAATGTCAAGACCCCTTTACTAAGGAACCTTGAAGAGTCACATTTCAAGTAAACGCTGTTACCTGTTCAACAACATAGAAGGCAAATTCCAGACGCTGCTTCTGCAACATAGGTATCAGATGTCGGAAAAAGATTGGAAGATGCTCGTGGCGATTCCGAAAAGGAATGAGGATTGCCACCTTCAAAATGTTGAATATGTTTAAGTATTATATTAACATTTTAAAATTTTAATATTTCAATACAGATTAGGTCTTCTGCAGCTTACATAGGCTTTTCAACTTTATATTCAAATTGGCTTAATATTTCACAGCATTTTCATTCCCACTAGGAAAGGAGTTTAGAATTTAACTCAAGCAATTAAAAGGGATAATTTTTAAATGAAAATTAAATAAAATTTTGTTTGTCTGCTCATTTTTTTCCAAGAACACTTTAATCAACATACAAATAGGACAGAACTTTGTATCCACATGATAAAAGAACAAAGTTCATGAACTTCTAAAAATTCACAGCATTCTAGTTTAAGTTTTTGTTAACACTTTAATCATTTCTTGAGCACAAGCAACATAAACTATAGTGTGGGGTATATATATAAAACATATAGTAATAAAGGTTTGAGTGCTTGCAACTGTCAACTACTCTTGTATACCTATAAGGGGAAAAAAAAAAAAAAAAAGTTATCTCACAATCCATCGTGGCTTACAGTCTTTCGGTTTCCAGTGTCCTCCTGGCTTAATGTCCAAATCTTTTGAAAACACTTCCTGTATTTCATCAAAACTAATTTCACTCATATTCACATTGATAAGGCCTCCTAAATACAGGAAGATATGCTGTATTTATTCATTTCAATTAAGACAACAGATCTAAATCTGTAAGTTATATCATAGGTATATATTTAGGTTTTATAGAATGAATGTTAGCATTGCCCCATATAAATCCTGTAAGCAAAACACTTATTTCAAGATGATTTGAACTCTGTACCTCTTCCAGAAAAGTGGAAGTTACTCTTTAAGAATAATTCATTACAACTTTACAGAATCTGAGCTACTGAATTGATAATTAAATTCTTCCTGCCTGCACCTTGACACAAAAGGTGGTGCATCATCACTATGATCGACCAACTTCCTCAATTATAATATTAAATAGCTAAACATTGTTCATTAACAACCTTCACCTATTAATTCATCAATGTCTGCACCAGACCAGTATATAGCAAGTAATTGGATTTGAGAAATATCACTAATTAGCCCAACGGCAAAAAGATATGCAGATGCTTTCTGATAAGAGAAAAAAAATCATCAAGATAGTGAGTATAGACTATAATATGGGTAAAAAAAAAAGAAAAAGAAAAAAGAATAGCAGTTTATTATGAGAAAATATTTCAAAATAGTTGATAAAAAGAGCTGTATATCACTGAGGTTATGCACATACATAGACTTCCAAACTAGGAAAAAAAAAAAAAGATTTATAATATAGTCTAACCTAAAAAGCAAAAACAGAGAGAATCATGAAAATTCAGAGAAAAGAGCAGTCTAATACCCAGTAAGCAAAAGCTCAAATTGCCCTTCAGCAACTACAAGCATAAAAATCAAATAAAAATCGTGCAATAACTATTTGACAGATTTCATAAAAAATCTTATACTTAAGAAGTCTGTTGGCGAGAGTTGAAATTTTAAAGACATCCTTTTCTCGCCTGCACCCTTGAGTCCAAGAGAATAACTTTCTGAACTGACTTAAATTTAGGACCTTATAGAAACACCTAAACTTTGGTAGAATAATGCCTGGTTTCAGAAGAAAGCAAAAGATATTGCAAGAGTCATTTTAGGTTTGGATCTGATTCAAAAGGTAGAACTTATTGTCAATATAAATATAGAAGGTAATTTTGAACAGGATCAAGAACAACAGAATAAGGGAAAGATATTCTATAAGCAGTTTTAAACAACCCACGTTTTCTTAGAAGGAGAAAGAAAACTGGCAGTTCCCAAAAAAGACTGTATAAAAATATTCCAGAACAAGCTAATCCTACACAGAGTTAAAAAGAAGCATAGCTGATGATGACTAGTTCTATTTGAAACTCTTTAACAACCCAAAAATGAAAAAGAAATCACATAAAATACAGAAACAAAGGTGTACAAAAAAAAACAGTATATAGCATAAAGACATATGAAAAAAAAATCACAAAATCACTTTAAACCATCAAAAGACGGAAAAGTAAACAAAAAGCCTTCTAGTCAATTTATAGAATCTAATAGAAAAATAAAGATAAAGGTGATTCAGCTGTGCTTTATCATTAAGTTTTTGACACATCAGCACAACATTCTATCATATAACACAGCAAAAAATTTGGCATGTATATAAGAATCAACAAGAAGACATAGAACTCATTGAAGAAGCTTTTAAAATCAGTGATATTTCACTGCCAGCTTGAGAGAGGCAGGAAAAGGCATCTCAAGCTGGGTCTGCAATGGCTTAGTAGTTCATTCTTCCATTCACATCTAGCATGTTGCACTTAAAAATAGATTAAGGAAAAAAAAAAGCAGCAGCAGCTGAGGAAGCAGAGAAACAGAAAGCAGTCTGAAAGACAATAAAAACCAAATGGCAAATATCAATCTGGAATACACTAGAAAGTGATTATTAGCTTTGTTTCCCTAATGCTAACAGGTTTTTTGAAAGGAAGTCAAGTTAGAAAAAGTCTACAATATAAAAATCAAGAATGGCAACAGTTTTAGAAACAATATAATTAAGAAATCTAATTAAGAAAGACAAGAAGACCACCTTGCAAGGGAGAGAAAGGGGAAAAAAAAGAGTAAAAGAGTAGTCAAAGTAGAAATAAACTATTTGATGGTACATTAGCAAAACTTACTTCTCTGGAAAGTTTGTTTTTTTTTTTTTTTTTTGCTTATTATCAGTGCTACCTCAATGAATTAATATCATTATGTAAAGCTAGATAACAATGTCAATTAATATACTATTACTGATATGATACAATAAAGCAAAATACAATTGGAAAGCATTCTTCATATGCTGGGATACAGAAATGATTTCTACCTCATCAGTGCTCAAAAAAAAAAAAAAAAGTTTACTTTCTGTATCTACCGAGCTCTTAAATCTTTGCATCCACCAAACTCTTTAGTTATTGATCAAACTTGCAAATTTTTGTTTGTTTGTTTTAAGAAAAAAAGGGTTACCAATTTGGTGACATGCTTGGCTGTTGGCAACATAATTTGTTATGATATGGATTTGAATAAATATATTAAATCATTATTAGAATATTAGCTTATATCAAAGGACAGTCCCAAATTTAAGTCAGGTATTTGCCTAAAAAAACAAAGTAAGAGTTCTGAAAGGTGTTCCAAATATCTTTAGAAATTATTCCAAGTTTTTTTCCCATATAGGGAAGTAAATAAGGCAGTAACGTTTGGTTTTAAATATGACATCTAAAAATGAACATTTTAACATAAAACATGCTGCCAGATACTAATTAACAATCATTTCTGGCAACACATTTGCACTTATTTACAGGGAGTTATTGATTTTCCTTCTCTAGCTGGAACATTCTGACACCTAATGAGACATTTCAATGTAACTAATTAACTTTGAGATGTATGCTAATGCTGCTATTAGAACTTTTCTTGAAAATATCCTTGAAAATATAATATGAAGTCTGAGTGTAGAATATCTGCAAGAACGCTATTTCATGTATTACTGACACAAGTTACGATTTCTTACAAATACAGGATACAAAAAATGTTTTACTTATTCATCCCCTTGTAGCCTACAGCAACTCAAGACAACATAATAAAATTCCTCACAGAGAAGGAAAAAAAAAGTCTTGAAAAAGAGTAGATGAACTCACATGTCAATGCTGCATCCCTAATAGAAACATTGATTTATTCATGTAACTGCAATTTTATAAAGCTTAAACATAAAAATCTCCCCCAAAAAGGCAGATGGGGTGGGTGGAGTGGCAGGGGACACCACCAGGAGCCATTTTCTTCACAGTCACCTAACATCTCCTGGTATTCCTGACTTGTTTTCTCTAGAAGCTTAAGAGAAGCAAATGTCCAGGGTTTTGCCAAAACCTGAGTTTCATTATTGGGAAAGGCAGAAAAATGACAAGCTTGCAGAATAGGGGAATTTACATGAAGTTTCATAGTTCTTAAGAGCATTTTTTTCTCTCTTTTTTATTTTTTTTTTTTTTGAAACAAGGGTAGTCTGTAGTCTACAGAAACTGAAGGTGGAAAAGTCACAGTGGGTGTCTTTTAGCCACTTAATTAAATCAGGCTAAGATCACTTAATTACATGAAGAAACTCATTTTATCTCAACTTTAGTGACAACTTTAGTGACCTGCTTTTAACTGAGTGGAGTGCTCAAGTTTGTGCATTCACCAATAAGGGGATCCCCCACAGTCTGGCTGAAGAGCAGGACAAAGCGAGGGAGGAGACTGAGCGGAGTCATGACTGGGTGGGTCAAAAGAATATCTGCCAAGGGTTGGGGGCCTTTACAAATAAGGGAATTCCCCCACATTCTTCAGCAAGGGGGACAAAAGATTCAGGTGACCTTAGGTGAGAGCAGATGGCAGGAGACAGGAGTTTGGTATAAGGCGGGCCAGGAAGGCTGTAATTTCTGAGTACCTTGGCCAATGGGAAAAGGAGAGGGATGGGAAGGACCAAGGGCCTTCCCTTGGTCAGGAAATTAGGCAATTTGAGAGACCCCACAGGGATATGCCTGGTGGACTCTTCCCTTTATTTGAATAAAGTTTTAGGACTCCTCTGTCTCCTTTTTGGACATTCAGTTCTTGACAGCGAGATTTTTCCGCACGTAATCTATGTTCCTCTTTCACTGGGATACTGCTACTTAGGAAAGCTGTGATACTACTGCTTTTAAAAAATGCAGCAAAAGTGTGCCAAAGTACTTAATTCCATAATTCAGCATGAAACTCCTCGAAAGGTAAGTATTTTCAGAGAAAAGAATTTAAAATTTAGATTTCTGACAAAGGATTGCAGAAGAATTAGAGTTACATAATCAAATTTTCATAGTTTAGGATAATGAAGAATCTAAGTTTGAAAACTTAACTTTACCTTCTCTTGAAATCCACAACTTTTCACTTTTTATGAAAGTACTAGAGAGCTTTAGAACGCTCTTACCACCGTAAATTCTCCCTTCACCACATCATCTTGTTCAGCTTGTTTTGTATTACAGTTTCTGTCTCACCAATCTTTGTATTAGCAAAATATTTCCAAAAGAAATGGTTAACTTTTCCTCAAAACACGCAATTTAAAACAGGTACCTTTTGCACAGGTACTGTATCCCATATATTATTAGAAGCACTTAGTATCATCTAACTTGTAAAAAAATAAAATAAAATAAAAAATAGAATAAACTTTAAAGAATCAGGAGATATTAGCAAAGAAGTCGAGGTAATAACACAAAAGTTATAGAATTCTGCTAAACACTATTGTCCATTCTCATATTTAATTTACTCATTATTTTGTGCGAAATATCTGCATGGTCTACAACTATATTTCATATAAAGTAATCACATTTTCATTGTTTACTAGATAAACATTAAGGTCTGTTTAAAACTTACTCATGTAAGGCAACTTTTCTGGACAAGCCTGGTAAGGAGAGTAAGTGAAGTTTTCTGGAAGATACATTCTCGTTTGAGCAAGATAGTCACTAGAATTGTTCCCTTCAGGATAATCTTAAAAAGAAAAAGTGTTTTTTTTTTATAAAACCTTAAGGTATCCACTGATTTTGGCTAGCATCATGCAGGCCTAAACTTTTAAAATAACAAATTCCCATCAACATAGCTAGAGAAATACAACATGAAAATAACAGTAATTTAAATTCAGATATCTTTGTTACAGCTATGACAAATTTATGTTTCTAATAATGTTCCAAAATGAACTGAGAAACAGTAAATATTTTGTCCTCAGTTCAGTTACAGAAAACTAGGACTTGAGTCTGGATCTTCATAATCAGACTATGCTTTTAAGATTTTCTTTCAAAAAGCTGTTTTAAAAATAAAATAAGAAATATTCTTACCTGTGCCATTCAGTGTAGTATTTTTGTTAGTGTATAATCTGATCATATTTCCTATTGTTTTTACATTTTCTCTCAACATTATACCACGAGCTTGCACCATAAAGAGATATGTATTTGCTGATAAAACAAAAAACAAAGTTTGAATTGAAATGAAATATTATAAATCAATTTCATATTTATTTATAATGTGTTCAATATTTATTATTATGTCTGAATTCATGGCTACTAGACTTCATATTCTTCCTAGATTAATATCCATGAAGAATAAAATTTTTCATCGACAGATATTAAAAACAAAAGAAACAAATGGATTCATAGCCACAGGTCTATACCAAAAAAAAAAAAAAAAGCAATATGTATGTTTTATATAACATGTTTAAATTTCTCTCTACTGTGTGCAAAGTAACTAAGTAATTAACTTCATTCAACTTACCAACAAATAGGTTTTCACATGTAGACACACATCCACCCATCTCTCATATATTGCATTTAGGTACACAACTTGTGCATAAAACAAAGATGTGTAACAATTTTAGAGTCAAAGTATTGTCCCTTCTGCTAACTTATTAAGAAGCATACAATTGTCAGTCAACATGCACTGCTATTCATTCACTCCCAGAAGCCATTTCATTATGCAATTATCACAAATCACTGGCAACGTTAAAGTATTAATGCTTGATAATTATATGCAAAATAATTATTATAGACATCAAGGGGAAGAAAATCAACACATTGAGTAATCGAGAAACATACTAATGGCTACAGCACCAAGTATTCCTGTATCTCAGCCCTGCACTATAAAAACAAAACAAACAAAAGAACAAAAAAAAGAGGGGGGGGAGGGGAAAGGAAAAAGAAGTATATTTGAGGAAGTAAATGCCTATTTGGGAATCACAAGACTTAATAATATAAAAGGACAAAAAGCCTTTGCAGAAGTCTTTTTTTTTTTTCCCCAAAGTTGTAGAAAAGACCAAAGGTATCATCTGTCTTTGGAGGCCTGTGGTTAGCAGTGTGTCCCAGGGGTCAGTCCTCTTCAATTTATTCATCAATGACCTAGATGAAGGGACAGAGTGCTGCCTCAGCAAGTTTGCTAATGATACCAAACTGGGAGAAGTAGCTGATACCCCAGAGGGTTCTGCTGCCATCCAAAGGGACCTGGACAGACTGGACAACTGGGAGGTGAGAAATTTTATGAAATTCAACAAGGCCAAGTGCAAGGTTCTGCACCTGGGGAGGAATAAACCCAGACACCAGTATAGGCTGGGGACGGACCTTCTGGAGAGCAGCCCTGCAGGGAGGAACCTGAGTGTCATGGTGGATGACAAGTTGACCATGAGGCAGCAGTGTGCTCTCGTGGCAGGGCTACAAGGATGATCGGGGCCTGGAACATCTGCCCTATGAGGAAAGACTGAAAGAGCTGGGCCTGTTCAGCCTGGAGAAGAGAAGGCTGAGAGGGGATCTAATCAGTGTATACAAACACCTCAAGGGAGGCAGTGAGGAGGATGGTGCTGGCCTCTTTTCAGTGGTGGCCACCGACAGAACTAGAGGTAATGGCCACAAACTGAAGCACCAAAAGTTCCGCATGAACTTAAGGAAAAATTTCTTAACAGTGAGGGTGACAAAGCACTGGAAGAGGTTGCCCAGACAGGTTGTGGAATCTCCTTCTCTGGAGATTTTGAAGACCTGCTTGGATGTAGTCCTGTGCCACATGCTCTAGGTGACCCTGTGTGTGCAGGGGGGTTGGACTAGATGACCTCTACAGGTCCCTTCCAACCTTAAGTATTCTATGATTCTATGATTTCACATATGTCAAGCACCCATTTATCTGAGAGGCATTTGTCTCCCTGTGACTGGTAACGAAACGAAAATACTCTAATAAGACAGTAGATGCACAAACCAAACACACCATAAAAACAATAGCTGTCCTAAACAGACTAAGAAATTATGAAAATTTATCTTACAAACTAAAAACTCCACTTCTATAATCTTTATTGGATATCCCAGCATCAATGGCGTGACACAAATACCTTTGTATCAGTTCATGTGTTCTCAGAGAACAGCACAGAAGAGTAGCACTAAGGACAGAGGCATTTCTAGAGGAAACTATGATTACCAATTACTCCACATTATCAAACAATACTACTGATACCCAAAGAGATCCATATACCAACATATCTTTTAAGTAGTAATATTTGTATATTTGTAAATTCTGCTTCCCCCCGCCTTTTCTTTTCTTTTCTTTCTTTCTTCTTTTTTTTTTTTAAAGAACAGATGGAGAGTTCTGCTTGCTCTTAAAGACTGCTTTACTCAGAATGCATCATATTTATTCAGACTGCACAGCTGCCAACTCTTGGCCAGCAAGACTAGCAGTTTTCACTAATGAGATTTTAAATGTGCATAAGAGTTACTTAGATGCCAAGATCCTCAAACTGTCTCAAAATCTCATGTCATTCGAAAAAAAAAAGAGTTCTCAGCCTTAAGCTTGAGGCTTCAGCTAATGATATAATGGAAGCAGACAATCAAAAAAGAATGGTTCTTCCCAGGCTCTAACACAACTCTGAAGCAGAGATCACTTAATGCTCCTCACAGAAAACTTGCACAAACACAACATTTTAACCCAATTCACTATCAAGCAGTACCTCAGTGTTTTAATTATTTTCTTACATTGGTACTCTTCTGTTCAAATTCTGTGTTTTTAGGGTAGTTGTATTGACTGTTTTAGGAAAAATCTGTAAAATTATTGGTCATATATTTACTGATTAAATATTGGTCATATTTACTCAAAAAACCTTCTCCTTCAGGAGTCAACATAAAAGTAAATAGATCTGTTACTCCAAAAACAATTCTTTACCATTAAACAAATAATTTTAAAATTCAAAGTTTTCATGAAAGTAAAAATAAGTGGCCTTTTAAACAGGATGGAATTTTCCTAAATAATAAAAAAATCATTTTTTTTTCAAAACTTAATATTTCTTGATTAGCTATCTAATTTTCTTTTTTCCCCTCACATATTATTGCACAGCTCTTTTCCTGAACATCTCCCTATTGCAAGACTATTTTTTTAAACCAGTTTAGTGAGCACTGATGTCAGAACCCTTCACGCTGGAGATGTATTCTGAAAGGCTATAGGTCTTTTTCTCCTTTTAACTAGGCAGCAAAAGTCAAAGTCATTTCTGTTTTTAAGACTGCAGAAAGGTTTAGATAAACACAGCATTAATCCGAATACTTTAGGATATACCAAAGTTTATATTTTACACTGATTTAACTTGAACTGGATTATGTCCAAATCTGTATCAATTACTATTAAGATATAACTTCTTTTTTTGTTGCAACAAGGAAATTATTCATTAATAAAAGATTGCTTAGACAACTGGGAAAAAATAATCCTGGAAGCTAGATATAAACTTCTATAATAGACAAGACAATTAATTTCTAGACAATGAAAAGCAGATTATAATTTTTATAACAATTATTTTCAGGTACCCATGACCAGATCATAAACTGCATGGAGATGTGACTACCATGCAAATGTACTATATTATGGCAAAATTAGGAGCTCTTTCAGATATAAGTTAGATTTGATAATTTGCATCTCCAAGGTTCTCTGCTTAGACCTGAATCAGACAGCCCATAAAACACTGCATCATTTTATTCTTGCTCCCTTTGCATCATAAACACAGCAAAACCATATCTTCAAACTTCTTAAAAAGGACAGCATCTTTCTTAACAAGTAAGCTTATTTATTTTTCATCTATTTACATGTTCACGTCTTTACGTGTTCATGTCTTGGGAATTTTTCTAGTTGCTACCAAACCACACTGACTGCAAAGAGTAAATCTGATAAACAGCCAGGTGTTACCTATTAAACTTACTCAGTCAATCATTATGGAAACTTAGCAGTCAGTGAGGCTGCTGTCCCAGCACTGTCCCCAACATGGTTGAGAGGGAAGATTTATTCCAGTAGTCGGTGTAATTAACATGAAAAACTACTCTAAACACATTATGATAGTAGTCTTAGGAACTTGATACAGCATACAAATGAGACTAAGATCTTGACAAAAGTAGACAAGAAACTCAAGGGGATCACACTGCTGTCCTCATCTCTCAGGAGAATCTTTCCTGATACAACAGATTTTCTGCAAGAGCATGTGCATCTTGACTTTGTTGAAGGGCAATTTACTTCTTGTAAAGAAGAAAAGAATGAGAACACCAGGCCTTTATGAAAGACAAAGCTAGAAAAGGTATTTCTCTAAAAAAGCAGGTGTCATGAAAAGATAATCAGAACCTCAAACTTCATGAAAGTCTGCTGTCACTTTGGGCTAAACATTCAAGAGCTGTTCTTGCCAACAGGAAGATCTAGCCTCACCATTTTTGCAATAAGATATCCTTGAAGTATTTCCCATCACAACACATGTCTGCCTGGTTGGTTTGCTTGCCAAACTACCATCCATCTCTAGCCAAATACCTAGATACAACACTACATCTTTCCTCTGTGCACTGTCTCTTTACATATTTTATCCTGGCTACCTGAGAGTAATGCAACAGCAATTACGAAAATTACAGATATTTAAGAAATTGTACTTTATATTAGAGAGCTCCTGGCATCAACATCCTCCTGACACACATTTATCGATGCTGCAGAGGTTTCTGATTCCATACATGAGGTCAACATGTCTATAAAATAGCAACAGTATAAGGACATATCTGCCTGGCACATGAAACTATATTATCAAAGATGTGGGTAAACCGCAGAAAACAGAGGTACAAAGACAAACAAAATGATAAATCATTATTTTTGTATCATCACATTGTATCATGGCACAGCAATCAGAGTCAAGTATTTTGCATAAAATTATATGTTTCTATTGTATGGAAACATGTTTCCATTGTATGGAAAATTGTATGTCAAAATATCCCAGGCTTTTCTTGTTCATGCTCATATTTTCATAAACACACTGCAGCATATAGCAGGAAATCAAGCAACTGTTAAGAAAGCAATAGGCAGCACCAAGACTTACAGAGGAGCAGCAGATGCTTGAGCTGTCATTGAATTACTTCAGAAGCTAATAGCATCAGGCAAAAATTAAAGACCCTAGATTTGTCCTAAAAATAAATTT